GCAAAATCACCCTCCTGCTTCTCAGGAGGAGGGAGCGAAGCCGCGTAAGCAATCTCATTCAAGCCACTACTTCACCGTGGATGTGTCCCCGAAGGAGCACAGCGCCGGACGGAGCCGAATGGCAGCAGCCTGAACAGCGGCGCGATCGGGCTCACGGAGCCAGGCTCGGAGGGAGGGAGGGAAGGCGGGCGGCCGCCTCCCGTCCCGAACGGCTAGCAGACAGACGGCTCGTGCTGGTACCTTTTCGCTGGCCGATATCGTGGCCAGGAAGCCCCAGCCGTGGCGACGCATCAGCAGCCGGGCCGTTCGGGCCGCTTGCTCCAGAGGAAGCGCCGGGCTGCCTGCTCCTTTGGCGCTCTCCCTCCGGTAAGAGAACATCCGCGCCGGCGAAGAGATCTGCTTCGGCCTCCCCGATCCCGGCCTGGCCCGCATGTCCTCCTCCTCCTCCTCTTTGTACACCGAGGCCGGGTAGCTTTGCTTCCAGATACTGGTCGTGTCTTCCAGGAGCGCGGGGAGAGCCTCTTCGTTGGAGGAGCTGTCCAGCTCTTCCTCCACCTCGCTGGGGACCGACCAGGAGACCGAGTTCACTATCACGTATCCGCAAGCCGGAGCCAGGACCAAGCTGCCCCAGAGGGCCCAGGGAAGCCAGGAGACGCGCGGGGCTCTTCCCCGCAGCTGAATCCCCGAGCAGCCCCCGGGCATTTTGAGCCGAGGCGCGGAGGCCACGCGCTGAGCTTGGCGATGGGGCGCCGGGACGCCCGCAGGTTTTGGCCGCGGGAGCGGCGCCCTCCTGCGGCCGGCAGCCCGCGGAGCAGCGAGCACGTCACGACGCCTGCTTCGGGTCCGCCTGCCCCCGCCGCCTTCTCCTCTCCTTCGCGTGATTTTATCCTTCCGTCAAGCAGCCTTGGGGCAGGATCAGTAATACCTTCCTTGCCGGATATTATCAGCGCATCAGCCCCCGATCGTTTACAAAAGCGATTTACCACGAAAAATAAATTTAAAAACCATATAAACGCACCTAATGCGTAGATTTTTTGAATCGGTTACGTGCAATCAAGGCGGTCTTACCAATCACATTGACTTTTTCCAAAATAGTATATAGAGTTGCAGCATATAAATAGTATCAGATTTTATCTAGACTCTCTCTTCTGTTTGGGGGGAAGCACAAAGAGTCCTTTATGTCAGGGTTTTGAAACTGAGGTGTACCTCCCTTGGGGAGATGCAGACTGAGTCCAGAAGAGGTGTGAAGAACCTTTTAGAAGTAGTCCTCGGTTAGCTACCATTTGTTCAGCAATTGTTCGAAGTTACGATGGCACTGGACAAGGAAACTTATGGCCGGTCCTCAAAGTTGCGGCCGTCGCAGCGTCCCCATGGTCATGTGATTGCAATTTGGGTGCTTGGCAACCAGCTCACAGTTATGATGAACGCAGCATCCCACAGTCACATGAACGCCATTTGCAACCTTTTCACCGGCTTCCTGCAACGAAGTCAATGGGGAAGGTGGCAGGGGGTTACAAATGGTGATCACATGATGTCATGCTTAATGACCACACAGGATTCGACTAATGATGGCAAGTGGGACTGCTGGAACTGCTGTCATAAGTCAGCATGGTCACATGACGTCGCACTTTGCGACTGCCTCACTTAGTAAGGATGTTCCTGGTCCTAATTAACATTGTTAACCAAGGACTACCTGTAGTTACATTGTTACACTAAATCCATCTTTCCCAAAGTTTCATTGTTCATTGGTTCATTGCTGCCCTACGTGTATAGGAAAAAAGAGAAACATCGCAGACTTTATATTAACAAAGCCAGGAATTAATTTTAGGTACTGACCAACAAAAGTCAGCTGAAGCCAAATTGTGCAGTATTATCCCATATGTCTGATATAGGATGATAAACAAACACTCTTATCCAATATGTCGCCCAAATGTAACTTGGTTTCTCTTGCAGGACCTCTACAAGAGTTCCTAATGGAGTAATGCATTCAAAATCATTTGAACTCTTGAGATGTCTTATGGCACATTAAAATAATACCCTGGGCATCTTTGGCAAGAGAAGACAAGCTGAAGAAAGGCCAGGGGATAAAGCATGACACACAATCTTTCGTGTTTCCATTCTGTGTGCTGCAATCAATAAGGCTGTGCAGCAATCTAGATTCAAAGAGAAAAAGATGATTCAAATGATTCACCCGTTTCTCCTGCCACTGGGTGATCCCAGGAAAAATATGTTTCATTGTGGGTGCCAGTAGATGCTCCAGATAATCTTTTCTGTATTGAATCTGCAGTGCTGCTCCATTCACTGATGAACATCCAAAGCCCTGCTCTGACTGGAGAGATACAAGAGGCAGGACTTTTTCAAGGCTGGCATGAACTTTATGGAATGCCCTCTAGGAAAAACTTTCTCCCAATTTAATTGAGCAGCTCAAAAATGCTTTTCATGCCCCCTCCCTTTAATTCTTTAAATTTATGTGAAGGAAGGAAGGAGGGAGGGAGGGAGGGAGGG